ACACACACACACACACACACACACACACACACATATATATATATATTATATATATATATATATATATATATATATTATATATATATATATATATATGTGTGTGTGTGTGTGTGTGTGTGTGTGTGTGTGTGTGTGTGTGTGTGTGTGTATTGCGATAATCATTTGCACTAATTATTGCAATATCTTAAATCATACCTCTCGGAATTTCTCTTTCGGCTTCGTAAATTTTGAAGAAAAAAAATACTTGGTAACAGTGACACACACTCCCTTGGAACCCCGAACACGCACAGACACCCACTCACCCTCGCCAGGAAGGTGTACATCTCCTGCTCCGCGATCCTCCTGCCGATGCACATCCTGGTGCCGGCGCCGAAGGGGAGGGAGGCGTACGGGTGGATGGGTCCCAGAGGCCGCCCGCGCAGCCACCTGTCCGGGATGAACTCCTTGGCTCGCGGGAAGTACTTCTCATCCCAGGCCGAGACCATGCTTAAGGCAAGTATTACGGTCTGAGTACAAGAATAAACGAAAGACGATTATTGAATAGTTGTTATCAAATCTAACGTCGATGGAGGTTATGATCAAACCAATTAAACTCTCAAGAAACAAATCGTTGTCACAGGTAATATAGGCCTACGTTCTTACCCCTTTCGGAATGGCGTACCCTGAAAGCACGCAGTCCTTGTCTACAGTCCTTCCCACACCAAGAGTCAATGGAAATATCCTGAAATCGGAAATTCTTTTAGCATAACAGATTTAGATCCAACATGTAATGATTAAACAACTCTACAAAATCCTGTAACAATCATACTGAAATGAAATTGAACTTGGTAAAAGAAAATTCATGTTTTTCTTTCGATTCTAGACTTAAGAGGATGGTATACACCTAAAACACCTCTTTAAGCTTTATCATCCTACTCTCAAAATACCCTTATAAACAAATAAATAAAAGAGGTAAAAAGAACATACCTCAGGGTTTCTTTGATCACTCCCTTCATGTATGAGAACTGCGCCATGTGTTTGGGAAGGAGTGGACCCTCGTGATCACCCAGGACTGTGTCTACCTCCTCCTGCAACTTGGCTTGGATCTCGGGGTTACGTGCCAGCTGGTAGAGAGTAAACCCAAGCGTGTGGGAAGTCTGTAAAAAGGCATGTCGATTGTTTAGTATTAACCACAGGTGCCGCAAACTTCCACCGTCCAGGATTTACTTTCATTCACACAGCGAGGGCTCCTATAAGCACTCACAAAGAGAAATACGAGGCCTACTGTTCTCATCTCTTCTCCCTATAAATAAAGTCCTATTCCACGCACTTTTTTTTCCATCAATATTTACGTTTCCGTCTGAATGGTTTGTTTACATAGGAACGCAACAGGAACAACGAAGGGAAGAACAAGACAATACACGAATATGGGCCTATTCATGTGTTTTCTTGTTCTTCCCTTCGTTGTTCTCGTTACAATTTCTTCGACATGGATTCTACACAAAGGAACGCCTTGGTAGTGTGACAGGATTAGTTACACGGAAACACAAGAATTGATGGAAGAGAAGCAAGTGAGATAGGGTCTTCTATTACTTGATTTTTTTGGATTTTCATTTCAGTACCTAGGATTACCGCTAATAAAATTATTATTATCACTATTGTAACATCAAAGATAATAATGATTATGATGAAAATGATAAAAGCAGTGTTAAAAATATAAATTCTTCACCCTAACTTCAAGGTTTGGAGTAAATAGGTGAGATCGCATAGGCCTAGTAATTGTCAACTTAGTGTCTATGTCCTTGTGGAGCCATGCAATTTTATTTAAAAAAATAAATAGATAATAATAAAAATAGCAATCATCTATACTGCTTGATTGTATACTCTGCCGTCGCCATGGGCTCAAAATAATTGTGCTGAATCTTCATGGAAAAATAATGCAATCATGACTTGTTGATGATCATTCCTCGTACATTTCTATTAGCTCTTACTTCGGATACTTTTACAAATTCCATTACCGTATCAATGCCTGCAAACAACATGTCCAGGATCAGTGTGACGACGTCCTTCTTCGTGAGTCCTTCCGTCATGAGAAGCGATTCCATCAAGGACACTTCATGGTCAATGTCAGGATCCTGTGCCAAAATACTGGCCTCTGTCTGCTGAATGCTACGGACTGCAATGCTGAAAGTGGAAGAAATTTCTGCTGAGCAACCAAGGAGATGAACAAACAACATCCATTCAAGATCTGAATTTAAGAGTTTAAAGGACCATTACATCTTTAGTGCCCCTGGATTAGACTAGTAAACTCAAAGACGAAATGTAATTGAATCCTCTTGATATGGTGATATTCCGTATCAATGCGCTTTGACCTAAATAGGTTTAAATGTTGCGGATTCTTATACTCAAAACGTTGACAAGAGCTGCCGTCAGTGACACGATTAAGAGTACTTTTAAAATCTGAATTATATTAATGTACACTCACTCTAAGAATTGTTCATGTCTCTCTTTCAGCTTCTTGTACGGTTTGATTGGGAAAAGCTTCCACAGTCCCAATGATGTTTCAGTATCGTTCAGGGCTTGGAATATGTCATTGACGATCTCAATCAGCCTCAGAGCATCCGAATCCTCGTGGATGCTAGGATTAAGGCATCCTAGACGGCGATTCAGTGCCACCAGACCAACGGCTAAAAAGGAGAAATATGAAGAAATAGAGAACATAAATCTTTTCTATACTTGCACTGAATAATGTATGTAGGCAATAAAAAGGACCCTAAGAGAAATGAAACTGATCTCAGTGTGTCATCTGTGTTTATATCAAGAGTTAGTCCTCGCAGTTGCCAGAGAAAATATATCTATTCTGAATCCATAAAACATGAACCAAGTCTTCAACTTTCATTACAGAACCCACAACAGCCAGGGAAGGCTTGGCAACGACATCAGATGTAGCAAGCATCTCCCTGCCTCTACATGATCCCAACCCAGATTTGTTTGGGCAATTTGCTCTGCCTCCTCTGCTCCTGGGGAACTTCGCCGATTAGCATCAATGAGATGGAGACATTCTGTGCCACTCTCCGGGAATGGCCTTGAATCTATCTTGAGTTGATGTGATGCTACCAAAGAGTGACCAATTTACATACTTCCAAGTTCAGATTTGGACCTCTACTAATTGCAAATTGGTACAGCTAGTACACAGTTGGATTTCGCTTGGCTAGTCAATGAAAACTTACATGAAATTGGCTATCTTCCAAGATAGCCGTAAATGTTTAATGGCAGTAAACAGAGATGGCATATTAGATCACCTTTAAAGCTGGGATCTGTGGGTACGTGCAAGTTTGGGAAACGTAGCACTGCAAACCACATATGTGTATGGGAAAGAATGAGCTGGCAGACCAGAGGTCCTAAGACAATTGCTGTTTAGCCCTGTGTTGATATTCTCATTGGTTTCGTCTGAGGAACTAATGAATTCTTGAATGGCTTGTCCTATTCATGACAATAATTTCCCTGGGCCGTACCAAGCCATGCGCAGGGAATGGCATGAGACTAAAGATGATTTTAAACCTATTTCTGAAGGGCTGTATCCTTTCAGTACCTGCAGCCACAGCCAAACAAGTGGACTTTTGCATAATGTACGCAGCTTGGGGCAGGCTTCCTACCCGGCATTTATACCCGGGTTACCATGACATGATTAGATGTTATCCTTCTTGTGGGGCAATGCACATAGAAGAATGTAATAACCCGTTAGTAGATTTCTATGTTCCACATTTGTATAAACTTTATTTTACAATAAATATGTGCATACGAATACGACACTAAAGTTAGTTAATTTGGATTCAGAAGTTATTACTGGACTTGAAATCTTCGATTCTGATTAAGAGCTGGACTGGTCTCCCTTATGTGTTGTTTCTGAATCCTCCTTATTGCACTTGCACACATAACTGAACAAAAAAAAATACCCTGAGCATGGTCTCCACAACACCAACAAGGGCAGTGCTTTACCGCAAGTTTTGAGGAAAAGGCAACAAAGATGGAGATATTACCATCCTCATAAATCTCCACGACAATGCTATTAACGTGAACACTGAACAGTGAGCAATGAATTGACCTCTACCACTCTGTATTATCATTCTGCAGAGCATCACAAGGATAACATAGGATCTTAAGACTATCTTTATGACTCATTTGTATACTACGTTTGCTTTTTGAATGTAGGGTCATAGGAGCCTACCGTTAATATATTCTGTCCATGTTTTACACTTTCTACATGGAATTCCTTAAGAAATCACTTCAATTCACGGTTTGGTTTAAAACACAAATCACCATTTTAGCGCCTCCCCCCCCCCCCCCTGAAATAATGGCACCCTGACGATCTCAAAGTAATGCATAGCCTGCGTTTGGTTATTTAGCCATATAAAGCTGGAGCTATCAGGAAGGAAACTTCTGCCAACTCCTGTATTAATGCAGGACATCTTAAAATCAAACCTTTTTTGGAGAAAGTATCCTGGCAGTACCAAACCCCAAGTTGAATTGTCAAAGGAGAAACTCATTGCTAGGTAACCATGACCAACCGAGCATGCGTAATGGCAGTATTCAGTGCGAGGAAAAGACGGTCTTTTATCACCCTTTAGTGAGTAACGAGTAATTCTGCTGGATCACACTAAGCTTAATGTAATACATGTGGCGTCGTAATATCCTGCTAACTGTGTCATATTTGTAATGAAAGTGAAATGAGAGAGTAATGAAAGCAGCCTGTCAACAAATGCTTCAGAAATGCAAGTGATATTCACCTCTCCATATAAACCATGCAGTTCAGATATTACTTACATTCGAGTGCCCATTTATACAGTTCAAACTGGAAGTTACTTGGCATTTCCCCGTGTTCTGCCTGCATTTCTGCGATCCTGAGAATTGAAAAGGAAATCAAGAAATTGACAAATCCTAAATGATAAATGCGGTAGGTGCCTAAACCATTGAATTGAGGATGCTATAGACAACTGACATATCACCCGATGATTTTTTTCCCACTCTTTCAAAACAACCTCAAAAGTCAGTAATGAAAACGTCAAGTCACCCCCAAAACCCTTACAAAATCTTAAATACTATTCCCACAGCCATCGAAGCCAAAACACACAAAGACATTAGCGAGAGACTATTCTTTCAGCCTTTTTTTATACATTCTTTGTTGGACATAGGCCTTCCCCAGACTCTTCCACGTCCTCCTGTCTCCAGGATCAGGTATCAATGCTTTTAATAGGTATCGAGACTCACCTGTCCATGAATTCGACTGATACTTGATCCATCTGTTGAAGATAAGTCCCCACTACCTTTGGTTTCATCATCGGGGTCTGGACTCTGCTCCGCACTCTCCACCACTCGTCTCCGTTCCTGAGAAAGGTGGTAGGACTCTGCGCTAGAGGGTTCTTGTGTGTGTGTGTGTGTGTGTGTGTGTGTGTGTGTGTGTGTGTGTGTGTGTGTGTGTGTGTGTGTGTGTGTGTGTTTTCAATGGCAAGCTCATACTGGGTATATCATTACAATAATTAAGCTTTTTAATTTATTTTTAAGGCTTAACTGCGCATGTGTGTTCAATTCTATTCATGATCATTACCTTTATTACTGTTATTACTGTATTTATCATCACTATTATTATCGTATTTATTACTAGGAATAGGATTGTTCTCGGTTACTTTTATGACTATTATCATTACTATTATAACTATCACTTTATTTTTATCACTGTCATCATTATCATTGCTAAAATTATTGCTATCAGTAATTGTTACCTTCATGATTATAACATTATTATTTCCATGATTTTGAATCATTTTTATTACTGCAATCATCATTATCATCATAATCCTCATCACAATGAACATGGTCATCATTATTATCATTATTTCCATCATTATTGTCAAGAATATTACGAAGCCTTTGATCGTAACCAGTTTCCCAGAATGCGTGCCAGGTCTGACGCCACCAGACACAACAAGCAACTTACTCGACCAGTATCCCTCCCTTTTTCTCGAAGAAGTCCTCGACGGCATTGTCTCTCACCGCCTTCAGGGAAGCCATGGGCAGGCGGAGGGGGTTGTGCATAGTAATGCGTAGTAGCTTCTCACAGTCGTCGGGCTTGGTCGTTAATACCATAGGGCCGAAGCCAGGCACTACCATTCGGAAGGTGGAACCGTATTTGGCACAGGCTCCCAGGTAGTACTTGTGATATGCTTTGGGGTCGAACTCTGACAAGATGGAAAAGGGACTGAAACATTCGGTAGGAAGTGAAAACTGAAATGCTTTGGGGTCGAAATCTGACAAGATGGAAAAGGGACTGAAACATTCGGTAGGAAGTGAAAATTGAAATGCTTTGGGTCGAAATCTGACAAGATGGAAAAGAAATTGAAACATTCGGGAGGAAGTGAAAATTGCAATGTTTTGGGGTCGAACTCTCAGAAGAAGAGAACCAAAAACTTCGGTAGGCAATAATAATTGAAATGCTTTGGTGTCGAAATCTGACAAGATGGAAAAGAACCTAAAACATTCGGTAGGAATTCAAAATCGAAATGCCTTTGGGTCGAAATCTCAGACGAAGAATAGGATGGAGAAGGAAGCCAAAACTTTCAGTAGGAATTAATAACTGAAATGTTTTGGGGTCGAAATCTGACAAGGAGAAGAAGGAGAAGAAAGCTAAAACATAGAGTAGAAATCAATATTGAAGAAATGAAGTAGATAGATGAAGTAACAATAAAGTAGGAATTAATGATTAAGAATTAAGAAAATAATTAAATTCGGTAGGAATTAATAATTTAATTGCTTTGGGATCGAAAGCTAAGAAGGAGAAGAAAACTAAACATAGAGTATAAATCGATATTGAAGAAATGAAGTAGATAGATGAAGTAACAATAAAGTAGGAATTAATGATTAAGAATTAAGAAAATAATTAAATTCGTAGAAGGAAGTAGAAACTATATGAAGGATTAAAAAAAAAAAACATTAACTTTGGGTGTAAATTAAGAGTTAAAACATTGTAGTTAATAATAAAGGTTGAACTTATATGGGAAGAAGAAAAAATACCATTAACTAGAAATTAAGAGAAAAAAGAAGTAGGAAAAAAACATGAACTTTAAGTGGGAATTAATTAGAGATATTGATTTGAGGTTGATTGATAAAAATAAAAGACTAAGTGGAAAGAAGGATAGAAGAAAAGCAATAACAGAAAATACAAATTAATCACTAAGAAATTATTTACATGCTACTCAATAAAACTAGAAGACATGAAGCAAAAAAAAAAATTGATAGTAAAATAATAATAAAATAAAATAAATAAAAGTAAATAAATAAATAAAACTTTACAAACCCCTTTCTCTCAGCAAAACAAGATATTTGTTTTCCTTACAACTTAAAAAAAAAACACCAACACACAGACACAAACACAGCTCACAAATCCACATGCCTGACAAACAGATACTTACGCTTGAACATGTCAGGGAAAGAACCAATCACGGGATATGCCTTCGGTCCGGGCAT